GGGGTCAATTCCCTTTTGATTAATAACCACGAATCCTTTATCTGAATCACCACAGACTTTCTTTTTCGGTTCTATTATTTTTTTTAACTCTATCATCAATGAATTTTCTTTCAGCTTTTACAAGCTTCTCTCTCTCTTCTGCACTCTTGTAAAAAAAGCCAGAATTCACTTGTTTTTTCATATTCTAATGACACATTGCATGTGAGGATGTATGCATCTTCTACTCTTTTTTTCATATCAGGATGCCGCACCCCATGGTCTAAAACAAGACCTCTGATTAAGCTTGTATCAGTTTCAGATTTATGTTTCATCTCCATAATCTCAACCATGAAGAGGTCAATAGGTTCATCTTGTATTTTGATAGCCAAAATGGAATCCACCACAGCCTCTGTTAAGACATCAGCAAGTTCCGCATGCACTTTAGTACGTAGAGATGTTCTGGCCACATCTGTAAGTGTTTCTCTGTCCATTTCTTTGCTTACTTTGACTTGTTCCAAAAACTGAAGTACCTTTTCCTTTGCAGCTTCAAATCCTTCTGTTATTATTCTGGGATGAAGACCTTCAGAAATGTAGAGATCCGCCTGTTTCAGTAGTTCTCCAATGATTAGGACATTGGAAGTGGTACCATCACCAGTTATGTCATCCTGGGCTGTTGCTACTTTGGCTATTAAGGAGGCTGTTGGGTGTTGAATTTGCATTTCATGAAGCAGCACATTGCCATCTTTAGTAAGCTTGATGTCTCCAGCACCAGAAACAAGCATCTTCATGGTGTCTTTAGGCCCCAAGTTGGTCCTCAGCATGTCCTGCAGTCCCCGGGCCACGCTGATGTTGACCACCAGTGCCGTCTGGGCTCTGGCTACCTCGGCCTTAGGGTTCAGGGTCTTCACGGCCGCCATAGCTAACCACCACAGGAAAAGAAGGAGACCCGGCGTGCGGAGTGCCTAAAGCCGGCTCAGTGTGGCCTCTAAATACTTATATTTTAAATGTCAATTAATCTTATCTAAGAAGCACCCTCACAGAAACATTCAGAATAATGTGTGACCAAGTATCTGGTCACCATGGCTGAGCCATGTTGACACAAAAAAATAAGCATCACACCTTCAACTTCTAGTTGGGTGTTTTGTTTTGTTTTTAGTGTTTTTGTCATGAATGGGTTTGAATTGCATCAAATTCTTTTATTGTAGGTATTAGCATGATATGTTTTTTAGCCCAGAGCTGAGATTGTGTTTTTTGCTAGAAATGTAGATGTCCTTATACAATCCTGCTATTGACTTGCTCTCCAAATCTGGTTGATTTATGGAAGGTCTAGATCTATTTCTTTGACTGTAGAATTAAAGATTACATTTAGATGAGCTAAAGGGTCTCTTTCAGACCCAAAAATATGACCCCATTTCTACGCATAACAAAACTTGAAATTAAAGGTTGCTTTATGTTTCATAAAGGTCATGGTCTTGGTATTATCTTATCCTCCAGACCACTCCCTGTGGTTGAGTAAAACAGGCATTTTCACTAATGATAGATGGAGTTACTCCAATTTGTAACAGTGATTTATGCTAAGATCATACTGTTTCTACATGGCGTTGGCAGGATTCCAAGTCAAGATCTTTGGGCCAGCATGCCAAATATTTTCATTTTTTATAAGAGCACAGGTTTATTGCATTAATAAATAAAGTGAACTCTCCTAACAAACTCATCCAAAGACATCCCCACCCTTGCTTTTAAAACTTGTTCCATACATGGAAGTCAAATTTTAAGAAAAGTTTCCTGCAGCTTGGACTTATTAAAAACAATGGGATTTGCTCCTAAGCCTACCTGTTCATTCTCTCTTTCTTGTGCTGTATTTACTAAAGTTCAGTTTTCTACTGCAGATGTAAATCATACGATTACATTTTTATTTAATTTTTAAAACACAACTTGGCCTAAGGAGCAAAAGTGTAACTGTTGTGCAGTCCAAATTCCAAAATTAGTGTTAGAAGGATATAATTAAATAGCAAGGGAGAGAAGGGAGAGCTTCTGGCACTTCCTTTCCCTTGTGGGAAGGAAGGACCCATGACTCGAATCATATGACAATAACCATCATCATAAAACAGTTACCATTATGAAGTTCTGTGTGTTATGAATTCTAAAAAAAAATACTTAATGCATTCCTTCTCACACTAAACCTTTGAAGTAACGATTAATATTATTCTCAGTATGCAGATGAGGAATCTGAAGTTTAGAGAAGTTGAATTGTTGGCTAGATGATATACAGACACTAACTGGGAGAAGCAGGATTCCAGAAAGGTCTGCCACATTAAAAACTTCCTGCTCTTAGTATAAACATTGCATTGCTCTACTCTCTGAACAAATATGCAACATCAGAACGATAATGAATAATTTCTTAGAACCAGTTCATACTTAACTTCATGTACCATGTTGGACATAGAATGCTAAAATAGGGAAAACCAAACAAAAGAACAACAACAAAAGAAATAAACAAACATGGGCTTTAGAATCAGAAAAAAATACAATCTTACCTCCTAGAAAGGGACACTGGCAAGAAAAGATAATCCAAAGGACTATTCTTTCAGGGTAGAATAACCAGAACTCTCAAAGCTGTCTACCCTTTGGTGTATGCACTAATTTTCTATTGCTCATATAATAAGCTACAACATAGTTATGGCTGAAAATAGCACACTTTCATTATCTTATAGTTCTGTATGTTAGATGTCTGTTACAGATCTCTGTGTGTTAAAATCAAGAAGTCACAGGGTTGGTTCCTTTCTGGAGCCTCTAGAAGAGAATCTGCCTTTTGTACATTCCTTCTCTTGTGGACCCAAACCTCCATATTCAAAGCTACCAATGTTGCCTCTCTTTGAACATTTTTCCACAGTCACACCTTCTTTAGACCACAGCTGAGGAAGGTTCTGTGATTTTAAAAATCTATGTAATTATATTAGACCCTAACAGATGACCTTGGATGTTCTCCCCACGTCAAGGTCCTTAATTTAATCATACCTGCACAGTGCTTTTTGCCTTGTAGCAGGACATATTCACACCTTCCAGCATTAGGATTACGGACATCATTGGGGGGTCATTATTCTGCCTCCCTCAGTGTACAAAGCTTGGAGCCTGGGGAACAGTGAGCTTGAGGTCAAGCACAAGACTAGATGATAAACACAGAAAACACTGTGAACACCAACCTCAGAGTAAGATAATTTGCTAAACATTAAAGAGATGTGTTTTCAATTCAGTCCACCTCTCTCATCTTAGAACTGTAAAAATACTCCCCTTACCTAAAGCTTGATGAAATCTTTTTCCCCCCTATTATTCCCTGTGAGGCACCAACAATGTTAGAAGCTGGAACAGTGAGGCACAAAGACACCATGGGCCCTATCTTTCCAGATTCTGCCAGTTCTACCTTTAGGCTGTGAAGACAGGGTGTCCTGGAGGGATAAATATCTGTGTCAACTGATCTTGCTTGGGAATACATGGCCTTTCAGAGTTTGGAGGGAGCAAGATTCTAAAGACAATTCTATCTGGTTCAGATCAATAATAAGCATCATATTCTTCTTCAAAGAACACCTTTTCCAGTATTCACCCCTGCATTCCATATATATAAATTCCATATATATAAATTCTGCCATAGGAAAAAAGGAGAGAGGGTTGTCACCAGAAATTGCTAATAGGATAGACTTGAATCCTACTTCTTTTAACCTGTGTTTAAACATAACAACAACAACAACAACAACAAAAATACCCAAAGAATTCACATAGTAAACACTAATATCTAGTTCAGAAAGTCCTCTGAGAGAATCTAAAATACCAGACACCCTTAAAAATATGCAAACACATTCTCTCCAAGCCACACTCTCTATTCAAAAAAATGAATTGCTAACTTTTACATTTAGGGGATTTGTGTGTAAAATACGAATGAACCCATTCAATTTATCATCCTCAAATAAACCTGTCATAGTGTCACAGGAGTAGGGAATAGCCAATTGCTAATATCAAAAGCTGTAAAAATGGTCCAACTTAGGGTTCCTAGGGAGTGACCCATTTTTGCAGCAGAGTGAAAGTAGGTAGCACAAATTATGCTAGAACAATATCAGTGAAATGTTGAATTTGAAAATCCTACTTGGACAAATGAAAGAAACCCATGAAAGCATGTTAACTGAAATATCTTAACATTGCCAGCATAATCACACGCCATAGGTTAGGAACCAGATACATTCCCTGCTGCCCCCATCATAACATTCTTCTAATTTAGGTGGGTTAATGTCATTGTTAAGCACCTATAAAAGAGGTGAAGGATGAGAGTTTACTTAACATGACAGGAAAATTATGTTCCATCAAGACAGACGATTCTCAAAATTCTGGTCAGTTAGTTTTAAGAAGTTGGTAAAGTATTGGTTTACATCTTGGAACACAGCATACTAAAGGAAACATTAGTACCACTACATTTAGTCAGAAAAATCTAGGTTGCACCAGGGCAAGAAATACAAAAACCTCAGTGGTTCACACAACCAAAATCTCTTTCAATGTCTGCTGTGGGTCTAGGTGACTTTCCAGGGCAAGTCTCTTCCATGTGGTCCTCAGAATTCCAGGCTTATCACATCTCCATTGTGTATGAGGCTTTCACTTTTCCTGTGATAGAAAGGACTCTGAACGGGAACTCTCTTGCACTATTGGTGGGAATGCAAACTGGTGCAGCCGCTCTGGAAAACAGTGTGGAGGTTCCTCAAAAAATTAAAAATAGATCTACCTTATGACACAGCAACAGCACTGCTAGGAATTTACCCAAGGGATACAGGAGTGCTGATGCCTAGGGGCACATGTACTCCAATGTTTATAGCAGCACTCTCAACTATAGCCAAATTATGGAAAGAGCCTAAATGTCCATCAACTGATGAATGGATGAAGAAATTGTGGTTTATATACACAATGGAATACTACGTGGCAATGAGAAAGAATGAAATATGGCCTTTTGTAGCAACATGGATGGAACTGGAGAGTGTTATGCTAAGTGAAATAAGCCATACAGAGAAA